AGAACTTATTTCAATCCCCAGCACATAGTAGCTGTACAATAAAGACCTTATTAGTACTCTGGAATCATGGATGGTCATTGCATTGATCATAATACTTACAACTTTCAAATTTGTTTGTCTTTACAATGCTTTAATTGTATAAATTGTTCTCTTGGTTCTGTTTATTTTATTTTTCATCAGTTTATAGAAAGTCTTCAGAATTGTTCATTTTTATCTCTTCATATGTGTCTTTCAATCTCTCTTTTAAATCATCTATTTCCTTGTTTCTTATAGCATATTCATACACCACACTTTATTCAGCTGTTCCTCAACTGCTGGGCAACTTCTTAGTTCATGGGTTTCTTGCTACCAAAAAGAGGTGCTATAAACATTTTTATGCATAAAGGACTTTCTCCTCTTTCTTTGATCTGTTTTGGGTGTATGCCTAGCAGTGGTATAGCTGTGTCAAAAGGCATACACTATTTTCTTCCTAACTTTTAGTGACATTGTGTGTAATTAAATCCCCTTCCAGAATTGTTTTACCCATTCACAAGTCCACCAACAGTGTCTCACTGTGCCTTTTCCCCATAGCCCCTCCAACATTTGTTATTTTCCTTTTTATATCATCTTTGACAATCTGATGGATATGAGGTGAAATCTCAGAATTGCTTTAATTGGCATTTCTCTCAAAGTGGTCTGAAGCAATTTTTTTCCCCATACAGCTATAGATAGCCTAGGTTTCTTCCTTTGAGAAATGTCTGTTCATATCCTTAGACCATTTATCAAAGGGTGAATGTCTCTTATTCTTATAAATATAAATAAATTATGGAATATGAACATAAATAAATTATCTTGGAAATGACTTTTATCATAGAAACTTGCTGCAAAGATATTTCCCAGTTGTTTCTTTTTTAATCTTAGCTTTATTGAATTAGTTTTTTTGAAAAAAAAACTTATTTTTATATAATCAAAATTACATATTTTATTTTCAATAATTCTTTCTATCTTTTATTTTGTCATGAACTTTTCTTTTACCCATAGAATTGATAGCACCATGCAATTTACAACTAACAGACAGAAGATTGATTTAGGGTCCAGAATCAGACATATTTGTGAATGCAGCCAATGAGATTCATTTTGTTTGACTATGTAAATTTGTTACAAAGACTTTATTTTTCTCCTTTTTTTTTCAGTGGGGTAGAAAGGCAAGAAAGTAGATTTCTAATTTAAAAAACACTTAAAAAGAGGTGGGGTTCTACAGGTAAGAAATATAAGCATGTAACTGTCAGGTGAGTTCACTGAATTGTCTAATTGTTTTACTTTGTTACAAGACTGTTTGGGGTGGGGAGAATCTGGAAATGTTTGTAATGAAATACAAAAAACATCAATAATTCTTTTAAAAATAGCTTACTGAACTACCTTAGAATTAAGCTACTGCTTATAGATAAGATCCAATAGTTTAAGATTATACTCCAGGCAACTCGGTTCTACTCATCAACTATGAGAGGCTATGCAATTCACAACTTTGTGCTTGTTCTCATATGCAGAATGGATCAACCCTTTCCCACTGAGCTTCAAGGAATGCTGTGAGACAATATAAAAATAAAAGGAAACACTTCAAGAGTAAAAGCACCACATCAATTCAAAGAACAGTACTATATTTTCATTAAGTTTCTTTCCTGTTTCATTGTAACAAAAATAGGCAGTTTAATATTTTTCAACTCATATTGCTATTCACAATTAATTAGTCCTCACAGCACCCCTTGGGGGGAGGTTGATATTCCAATTGCATTTTAACTAGGAGGCAACAAGGTTTAATGACAAAGAGCAAGTTAGTGTTTGACTTGTAAACCATGACAGCTACTAGTTATTTTGAAAAAAGCTAGGTGGTACAGTGGCTATCCTGCTGAATATGGAGTCAGAAAGACTTAAGTTCAAATTCAGCCTCATACACTTGCTGTGTGATCTTGATTAAGGGTATGATCCCTTATGCTTCCTGATTCAGTTTTCTCATCGGTGAAATGGGAATAATGATAGCACCTACCTTCCAGGGTTATTGTGAAAATGCAGTGAGATAACATTTGTAAAGCATTTTGAAACTTTAAAGCATTATATGAATACTAGCTATTATTAATGTTAATAATAGTATGTTAATAGTATCATATTATTTCCATATTATATCATGACCATTATAATATATTATAATCATAATAATATGATAATATAATATAATTATAGTATATAATTATATATCATATATTGACTGTGTTCATAAAATCCATGTTTCTTGCTGGACCCTAAGTCCATCACCTCTCCGTTAATAGTAAATAGTATACTGCTATCAGATCCATGGATAGAAGAAAAATTCACAATCAAACAAGAGATAGAGAGGATCACAGAAGATAAAAATGGTTATATATAATATAATCATTATAATAGTATATGTGTTTGTCATTATATAATTATATATTGCATGTTGTATAGATAATTATATAATAAGTATGTGGTATACATTATATAACTAATTATATAATATTAATTTATTTTAATTGTGGCTTCCCACCCTCATGTCTGGAATATCTCTCCCTCCTAACTTTGCTTTCTGTTTCCTTGGCTTCCTTCAATGTTGCTGTTCGGCTGTGTTCGGCTCTTTGTGCTTTCATTTGGGGGTTTCTTGGCAAAGATACTGGAGTTTGCCATTTTCTTCTACAGATGAGGAAAACGAGGCATAGAGCGTTAAGTGACTTGCCCAGAGTCACGCAGCTAGTAAGTGTCTGAGGTCAGATTTGAACTCAGGAAGATGAATCTTCCTGACTCTACACCCAGCTCTCTCTCCACTGCACCACATAGCTACCCTCAAGACTCAGCCCAAATCATGCCCCCTGGAGTAGGCTTTTTCCCCAGTCTCCAAAATAACTAATTCCTTTCCCTCTGGGATTACCATATGTATACACTGCATAAATCTTCTCTCTACCTTGTTATTTACATGTTATCCTCAAGGGCAGGGATTGTTTTTGCCCTTCTTGCGTCCCTAGCATTTAGCACAGTGCCTGGCACAGATTTAATACTTCATAAATGTTTATTTACTAGCTGCCATTTAGCAACCTCTGTCAACATACTTAATTTCTTTGACATTTATTAAAAAACTAGAGAAGACTTATTATTCAAAAATTAATGACCGTCATTTTGTTTAGATAAATGATACTGAGCTACAAATGGGACTCAAGGTGTATCTTTTGATACAATTTTAATGGTGTATCCAAACTGATCAGAAAAAGTCATCTCCTTCAAATGTTTTTTTTTTTTTAAGAATAAAAAAGACACAAGGAAACAAACAAAAAAAAAACATGCCAAGTTCACAAGTTGAAATAGGGCTTCCAGTTCATTCAAAAAGATGAAACTACTGAAGACAATTGTTATCCACAAGGATGAATACAGCTGGAAAGACCAGTGTGTGACTAAATAGTCTTTCCATACTGCTGAGAAATAAAGGCAATCTTTTGGTTTGTGGCTGCTATTGCAGGTCACCTAAGACTGTTCTCTGAGGGCTTTTTCAGACATGCATCCACTAGTCTGAAGGGTAACTAGTACTTCTAGCCATCTTCTGACATGGAGGTAGCAAGAAATAATACTGAATTCCAACTCTAACCTCACCCCCTTGAGATATCATAAAGGGTATGTATCTTCAAAGCACAGAATTGTTCCCAGAAGCTCCCAACATCATAGGTTTGATGAGAATCTGCCCAGCCTTCTGGAAAGAAAAGGCCAACCCCATTAAATGCCACTCAGAACTCTTGACTATCAGATTTATGCTCCATCTGGTAAGATGATTCTCATCCATTACATGATATTTCAGTGGAACAGATTGAAAATGAAATTTCTCAAGGTTTTATCTTTGATGTTGGCCTTTTGGAGCTGGGTTTCCACAACAATACATTTATATATGTGATATATATCTGTCTACTTCCCTTTACTCATGTGGTCCCCGCCACCCCCCGCCCAGTTTAAGACCTCTTCAGTTGGTTGGTTGTTTGCACTCCAAATGTTCATATGAACTACTTATGCCCAACTCGTGGTAGAGTATTCTGAGCTCGTATCAGTCTGATTAACTATAATCGAATGCATTGTACCTTGACTCCATCATTTTGGTCCTCTTTGAGGATGAAGGACAACAACCAGGACCTCATCACATTCCACCTGAATGCCTACTCGGGTATCCCTGTCCCAAGTCTCTCCTTTCTCCAATCTAACCTCCACTCAGATGCCAAAGTGATTTTCCTTAAGCTTGAGTCTCACTCTACACTTCCCAGCTGAGTAAACTCCAGTGGCTCTCTGTTACCTTGGGAATAAAATAAAAACTATGTTTACCATTTAAAGTCCCTCACAACTTAAATCTACCTTTTTAGACTTACTGTGTGTGTATATTCACATATATTCATACATATTCATATATATTCACATATACATATATATATTCACATATACATATATTCACATATATAGATATATTCACATATATATATGTGAAAAATAAAATTTCCCCTCAGGCACTATAGTCAAGCCACACTGGCATCCTTGCTGTTTCTCACCCATGACACTTCATCTCCTATCTATGCCTTTTAACAGGACTGCCCATACCTAAAAAGTATTCCCTCCTCCCTTCTTCTGCCTCAACAAAGGAATCTTAGCTTCCTTCAAAGCTCAGCTTAAGCACTAGTTCCTAAATGATTCCTTTCCAAATCCCTTTTGGTGGCTAGTGCTTCCCTTCCCAAAATCAACTTTTGTTTATTTTGTGCAAGCTTACAAAAGCTCTCCCAATTTAAGCTATTAAAGCCTAAAACTGCACAGAGACTTTTGGGATAACCTGAATGTACATGTTGTCTCTCTGACTAGAATATAGGAATATGGGTTCCTTGAAGGCAGGTTGGCTTTTTTTTTTAACTCCGTATCCACCATGCCTAGCATGGGACCTGGCCCACAACAGGTATTTGAAAAACATTTGTTGACTGACTGAATCTTACCTGAATTGTATCTACCCATTCTCGTACATTTAGGAAGCTTTTCTCACAGGTCACATCATATAACAGCAGAACACCATCTGCTTTTCTAAAGTAGGATTTAGCTATACTTCGGAATCTTAAGGGAAAAAAGAACAAGAAATATACATAAGCAATGGTTCTGATAAGTTAATCTGATGCTCTCACTTCTTACTGACCATTCAGTCTACTTCTTTTATGTTAAAGAAAGGCCTTCCTTGTAGAAACAATTTTTTCTCTTTTTTAAAAAAAACTTAAATACACAATAAGAAAAAGAAACATATTATAAACTTAAATACTAAAACTTAAATATAAAATAAGAAAATTTTAAAAACCATTGCCATGTGCACAGCAGAACATAAGAGATGATTCAAAATAGACAGCAATAGATTTCCATTTTAAGATAGCCTATATAATGAATACTACACATCGTATTCTCAGCTGTCCGTCTTTGCTTCCTTGTTAGTTTTCTTTTGTTCTCTGATGCGTGCTTTTTACTTTATTCTTCCCGCACCTTCCTCCCCGCCCCTCACCAGAAGGCTACAATTAAGCACAGATATATTTGTGTATGAGTGTGTGCATGTATGTGTATATATATATATGTACATATACATGTATATATACATGTACACATACATACATGTGTAATACATATATACACTTATATACACACACATATACTTAGATATGTATAATCATACTCATATTTAGATATATCCACTCATATACATCTATGTAAGGCAGTACTATACTTGTTTGTCCTCTGTTCCTCTGCTAGTGGATAATGTCTTCCTTTATAAATACAAGTCTTTCCCTATTTTTTAAGTCTATCAACTCATCATTTCCTATACCACAGCAATATTCCAACCTTATACTGTCTAGTTATTTTAAATAGTCTAAAACAACATTGATTAATATGGCTCACTTACAGTGTAGTTTCTCTATTTTTATCTTCTCATTAAATCGATTTTAGCTTTAACTTTGTCTGAGATCATGATTACTACCCCTGCTTTTTTCCCTCATAAATTCTACTTCTGGTCTTTATTTTATGTTTGTGTGTATCTCCTATTTCCTATCCTTCCTGACTTTTCTACTTTACTTCTACTCACTAACTTGGCCTCCTATTATTACTTAACCTACCCCCCTACCTTTCCCCTATATCTTAAAATCCCTCCCTTATCCTCTACCCCCTCCCTATCCACTTAATCTTTTATTTCTTTCTGAATTTAGAACTTTTATACTCTTCTAGATACATAAGTATCATTCTCTCTTTAACCCATTCCCAATGAGAGTAGGGTTCCAGAACTGTCAGCCCTCCTCCCCCATCCTCTGTGTCAGTTCTTCCTCTCACACCCCATTTGTACAAGATAATTACTCTTTTTACCTTTCCCTAGAAGGTTTACTTTGTAGTATCACGTTATCCTCAACTCTACCCCAATCTTCTTTTGAACTACCCAATTACTAATAACAATCTTAGACATATGATTTACATTTCCTCATATAAAAAGTAAACAGTATGTCCTTATTGAATCCCTTATAATTAGTCTTTGACGTTTACCTTAGATTTCTCTTGGAATTTATATGCCAAATTTTCTATTGATCTCGGGTCTTTTTGCAACACAATCCTAAAAGTCTGGCAATTCATTGAATATCCATTCTTTTTCATTCAGGATTATGCTTAACTTCACTGGGTATAATATTTTTGGCCGCAATCCCAGTTCTTTTGCTCTTTGATATATAGTGTTCCAAAATCTGTGGTCTTTTAGGTCTTCTATGATTCTCACTGTGGTTCTGACATATTTGAATTGTTTTTTTTTCCTTGTTGCTCATAATATTTTATTCTTAAGCTGGGAGTTTCAGAATTGAGCTATGATATTCCTGTAGGTTTTCCTCACAGGATCTCTTTCAGGTGGTGATTGGTGTATTTTTTTTCTATTTCTCCTTTTCCCTCTTGTTCTAACACTTCAGGACAATTTCTTTAATTATTTCTTATATTACTGTATCAAGATTCTTTTTTTTTATCGTAGCTTTTAGGTAGTCCAATAATTCTTATGTTTTCACTTCTTGATCTGTTCTCCAGATCAGCTGTTTTTCTTATGAGATGTTTCACTTTCTCTTCTATTTTTTCATTCTTTATATTTTATTTTATTATTTCTTGATCTCTTGTAACTTCGCCGGCTTCCCCTTGCCTAATTCTAATTTTCAAGGAGTCATTTTCTTTCTTAAGATTCTGGATCTTCTTTTCTAGTTGGTTGACTTTCTTTTCGTAATCTTCTTCTTTTTCTTGAATTGTTATTTTTTTAATTTTCCTCAATCTCTCTCATTTGATTTTTAAAGTCTTTTTTAAGTTCTTCCATGAATTATTTTTGGGCAAGTGACCATTTTATGCTACTCTTTGGGGCAGGAGTCTTTTTGTTTCAATATGCTCCTCTGAAGATGAAGTCTGGTCTTCTCTGTTCCCATAGTAACTTTCTGTGGTTGGATTCTTTCTCCTTTGCCTACTCATTTTTTTTAATTTATAGCAGTTTGTTATTGTAACCACCCCTAGTCCTGGGGTATAGGGGATGGTGTCTCTGGCCTCAGGTTCTCCTTCAGTTCTCCCCTCTGGCCTGGAACCAAAATCTAGGACTCTGCCCTCCTATACGTGCCCACAGGCAGCAGTGTCCCTACCCCAAGGCTTTTGCATTCACTGGGCATGTGCTGGTTCCTTCTCATCCAAGGCGAGTCTGGGCAGCACAGCTGGGCCTGGCATCCCTTATCAGCAAAGGTTCCCTCAATCTTCCCCTGCTCAGATGTTGGACTTCCAATACGGTCTGGCAAGTGAGACCGAGGTTACCTCCCAACCCAGCTAGCCCGAGGACTCCTTGGCTTGCTGTTTCAATAGAACTAGCCTGGAGATGTTTACACTTCACAGGGACCAAACCTCTGTCCTGTGACTTTTCTTCCTGTTGCCCCAGGAGGACCACTGTTCTGCCCCAATTCTTGTTTATTTTTACCACTCTATGTTCAACCTGAGGCGTTGCTTTGTCTTGTTTGTAGGGGAAATCTGGAGAGTTTAGAATTTCTGGCCTCCTCTGCCATCTTCCCAGAATCCTCATCCATAGAAACAATTTTTAAAAAGCATGTGGCCTGCAAAACAGCCTCTAGTGCTGGTGCTTCTCAATGTCCAAAGAGGACAGGATAAAGGTATGGCCATTCTAGTGGAAGTCACAGGCAGAGGTGCTTCTGGTCAGAGTTTTCGGCACTCTATACTCCCATGCACTGAACCTGATGCCACAGGAGTAAGGTAAGTGGGTTTGAGACAGAGGAAGTTAGAGGGTGTTGAGTATTAAAAGGAAGAAGAGGGTTAGCAGGGGTTGGTAGGGAGAGATAGCTCCTAAGTGACATGTCTTAGCTCTGCTTCCACATGTGATACTGTTAGAATTTCATGCAGATTTGACATAGCTCACATCTGAAAGACTACCTTAGTTATACATCTTTTAGCTTGAATTCTAAAAAGCCCAGTCTGCTTCAGATGAGCTGATGAGTTTTATTCCCAGAGAGGCTAGACAGGATAAGAAGCTCCTTCCTAATGCTTTTTAGTCAATGGCAATGAACATGCATTACAAGTCCTACAGAAATAGGTCTGTGCTGATGAATGTCTCTGCCTTTGTACAGAGAAGAGCTGAAAGGTTCACTTTCTTCAATGAAGTGAAGTCAGAATCTTCATTGCGTCATGGAAAATACATCATTTTTAATCTTTCACAGCTAAGCAGCTGCCCACATTAGCATTTCATAAGAAAAAGTCACCTTGCTTGAATCTTTCTTTAGGAAAAAAAAAGGATATTCTGGAGCCTTCTTAACCACACAAACTGAGGAGTTGCTAAAAGTCTCTTCATCTGCCAAATATAAAAACGAAGAGGAAGAAGGGTAGGGAAGAGGGAAAAAGGATTGGAATACGGAGAAAATAGTAACCAGACTTCCAATGAAACTGGAGAATATAAAAAAAAATGAGCAAACAATCTAGTAAATATTTATCATCTTTCATCACAAATTCTCCATATAAGTATGAAATCTGTGAATGGCACTTGCCTCTCTTGACCAGCTGTATCCCAGAGCTGTAAGACTGTAGGCTCTCCATCCACAATAAGAGTCTTCATTTGAAAATCAACTCCTTTAAAAGAAGCATAAGGGCTGAGAGTAAGAAGTCAATATTTCCATTTATTTTGCTTTTAAAGACTTCTTCAAGATGTGACAAGCATCTATATCACCCCAACATCATGTGAAAGTAAAATACAAAGTCATTCATAAAGATGACTCCATTGACCTAATCAGTATAGAACACTTTTGAGGTGTATTTCTTTCCAATAGTGATGATGGATAAGCAATAAGCCATACACATTCTTGCCTCATTTCCCATTCTGATCTAAGACTGGCTGGGGCATGGGTATACTCCATGGCTATGGGACAAAAAGGTTTTTGTGCCAACATAATTAGTTAATTTTGAGCTAGACTCTTCAGGCTTGATTCCACTATTAAAACACACTCTAGTGACCTGAATTAAACATTAAAATACCATTATGAATTACATTGAAATGAAATTTTAGCCTTGTACAATGGAATAAACAATTTACCTTATTCTATCAAATAAAATATAAATAGATTGATAAAGTCAGAAAGAAGTACAAATTTAGGAAAAAGATAAGCTCAGTTTTGGATATACAGAGTTTGAGGAGATAGTGGAACTATTTTACAGGCAGTCAAAGATGGAAGTATGAAACTAGAGGTGAAGGGCTAGAAACACAGGTTTGGGAGTCATCTGAACAGAAATAATAGTTGAAGTCAGGGGAATGTATGAGATAGCTAGGAGTGTCAAAAGAGACAGAGACAAAAGAAAGAATCTTAATAACTGCCAACCTTAAGCAGTCAGGAAAATGACAAAGCCAGTGAACCAGGCAGAGGTAGAGACATAAAAGGAAAATGAGAAGAGGATGATGGGTCAGATGCCAAGGGAGAAGAAAACTATTTAGTAGATTGGACAGGGTAAAAGTATGAAATGCTACAAAGAGGTTATGAAGAAGGCCTTTGGATGTGGTGCTTGAATTTGGTGACATTGGAAAGGGCAATTTTAAAATTTAATACCAATGTCATGGAAGCCCAGTTATAAAAGGTTACGGGAAGATTGAGTGGTCAGGAGAATCATAAAACATAGAAAACTTTTTGAAGAAGTTTAACAAAGGAAGGTAGGAAAGAGAGATTGAATAATAGTGAGATGAGTTAGGATTAAGAAACTCAAGCATATTTGCAGGCATATGGCTACAGAAAGCCTAAAAGGGATCATGAGATCATAGATTTTTAGCTGGAAAAGACCTATGAGACCAAAAATTACACACACACACACACTCACGCATGCACGCACATCTCTCATTTTATAGATGAAGAAATTAAGGCCAAGGGGAAGTTTGGAATTAATAAGGGTCAATCCCAAAGAGCAGGGGGTGACTGGGTTGCCAAAGAAGATTGAATAAGCCCAGTTGAGAATCAGAGCAGCTCAAAGCTCCCATGCCCTTTAGAAATCAAGTAGGCATATGAGTCATCCCAAGGCTTTGCTAAGGATCACACAGATGGTAAGTGTCTAAAGTAGGATTCTAACTCAAATCTTTCTGACTCCAAGTCCACTGTTCTATTCAGTATTGGAGCAAGGACCCGGAGAAGGGAGGGTAGAATAGGATTCAAGGTTCAAGTAGAGGAATTAACCAGGGCAACAATTCTTTTATGACCAGACCAAAGAAAGATAGTAAGCTATGATGCTGAGAAATTTTGAGAAACATGGAAAGATTTTGAGGGAAGGTTATCAACCTCCATGAAGAAGAAGGCAGGTAAGTCGTCTACCTGACTGTGCAGAAATGTGGGGATTTGGTTGAGGCCATAGGAATGAGAGAAAGGCTTGGAACAGTCAGTCGTAAATTGGACAGAGAGTTTATAAGAATAAAGGATGATGACTAGTGAATAGCAGGGAAGGCATTACAAATGGCACCAAAATTTGTAACAGATCCAATCTATAGCAACACAGAAGTCTAGAAATAAAAAAGATGGTCAGGGTTACCCAGAAAGAATCTCAGGAAATGTGGCAAGTAGGATAGTAAGAAAGGAACACAGGAACAAAAGAAATGTTCACTGTGTAGTCAGTGTTTGGTATATGGAGGTGAGTGAAAACAGACTAGTAGAAGCAAACTGGAAGAAGGGGGAGGGGGTGAATCAAGAGAACAGAGGTCATCATTAGGGAAAATAATAGGCTAAAAGTGAGAGTCCAAAGAATAGAAAATTGTGGCCAGGGAGTAGAATTTCAAATTTCAGGATTATGAAGATGACACCTTTCTGAGAGGCAGCAAGGACCAATACATGATAATGATCGCGTATAGCTGAAGTACAATATACAATCGTTTGATTAGAGGAGGCCCAAGTATTTAGTGTCTGGGTTGTTGGAAGAGCTTCAATATGAATTCTAACCCTTAAGTCTGATACCAGGGAGTGGAGTAGAGAGAAAGACTTTGGGCCAGGAACTGAATTCATTGAGAAAGATGAGAGAGTAACCAAGAAGTCTTTAGAGACAGGAACATAGAGGAAGGGATTATAGAAATAAGATACCATGGACTTTATGGACTTTAATGGAGGATAAATGGTTACAGCTACGATGGAAGAGAAAGATGGTCTGGAAGTGAGAGTGAAGAGTAGAAAGTATGCCAACCCCTCCTCTCATCTGGCCATATGAATCTGGGAGAGATCTCTTGAGCTTTGGAGTTGTGAGCTTCAATGAATGAAGCCAATGGGATGTCCGTGCTAAGTTTGGAATTAGTAAGGTCAATCCCAAGGAGCAGGGGGTGACTGGGTTGCCAGAGAAGATTGAACAAGCCCAGGTGGCAATCAGAGCAGGTCAAAGCTCCCATGCCACTTAGAAATGGACTAGGCATGTGAGTCATCCCTGTTCTTTCAGCCTGGGTGAAATAGAAACCCAGTCTTAAAAAATAAAAGTAAAAGAGAAGCATTCTGCAAAGTATAGTAATTTTTGGAGAACAGGAAGGGGTTCCAAGGATTTTCTAATGTATTTTGCACATATGTAATCCCCATAAGAAGTTAAGCAAGAAGTTTAGGAAAGCATTCTTTTTCATCAGCAATTAAAACAGGAAATATACCTAGAGTGGCACCGGTGTTTCCTCGAAATTCATTCTTACAAAGCCTCATGAGAAAACTGGACTTCCCCACAGCAGCATCTCCAGCAAGAACAATTTTATATGCCTTGTCTGAGCTAGGATATTTACGGTTGCCATCAGCCAAGTTTGCCTAAAAGAAAATTCAGGATGAGAAAATTTTAATTACTTTTTGTCCCTTATATTCCTAGTTTGTATCAGGAAATAGAAAATTACCAAAGGGCATGAAAAAAAGACATCCCACAAAAATAGTACTTACCTGTGGTGAGAGGGCTGATATAGGCTTTCTTGCAGAAGTACCCAAGTTCCCTTCAGCAACAGATTCTGAGGGTTTCCAGCCTAATATTGTACTGATGCTGTCAGAACCATAGGCTTCTTCATCTCGTATCTCTGGAACCTGCCCCAAAAATATTATTTTTAGAAATGAAAAAGATGTATTTAAACAAAAAGATACACCATACAAACTGCATTGGATGTCATTAAGCAGCATGTGCCAATCTACTATGGAAGTCAAGAATGCTCAACTGTGCCAATCCAGTAAGGAAGTCCTTCTTAAGCCGGGGAGAGAAATTGTACTGTTTTATTGATCCCATTTAACATTTATAACTTCATTAAAAACCCCTTTGGTTCCTGTGAACTCTTGAGGCTAGTTAATTTCAAAGAGAGGGTTAATTTTTCTTTTCATCAAAGGTCTTAGAAGATCAATCATTTCCAGGGCTTACATCTGTATCAGACGCATCACCCCCAAAGCTCTCCTGCGTGCACTGTGACCTTTGAAAACTCCTTTGATGCTTGTCTTCCACCTCAAAATCATATTCATTAGAATCTCTCAAAGTCGACAGGCCACTGTCAAAGCAGCTCTCAGGCAGGCTATCAACCTCATAGTTCATCCTCTGCATTGGATCGCAAAGGGCTAATGAATCACAATCCTCATCCACGTAGGAAGAACGTGATGACCTGATGATAAATAGGAAAGAAAATACGGGGTTTAATGAAGAGTTCAGAATGCTCAAAACAGGTTAAGCAGTACCAAGAAAGTAATTTCAATTGTGGAGACTATAAGATCTCTGTTTTCCTTTTGCAAAGTAAGTAAAAAAGTAAAAAATAATATCACCCACCTCCACGAATTGTTGTAAGCATCACATGAGATATTAAATTGTGGAACACTTAGCACAGTGCTATTTAAATTTTAGCTATTTGTTATAATTATAATTATTATTATTATTATTATTATTATTATTACTATTAAACAAGCTCAAAAGTCTTTCTCATATGTGTTGTTCCATATGGCCATAGAGATCCCTTCCCAAATATCAGGTGTCATTATTTTGGCAAAATCTATATTTGCAATTCTGATCTAAGGACTTTACAACTCCAATGTAATACCCCACTGCCTCCTCAAATTTAACAAGTCTAAAAATAAGTTCATTACACACCTTTCCCTCTACATCTGCTTTCTGTTTCTACCATTTCTGCCTCGGGTATTTTATCCAGGTTTCCGTGTTTGGAATGTTAGTGTTATCAATGACTCTCCCTTATCTCTCAGTTCTCATATCTATTCAAGTCCTAAGTCTAATCAATTTCATATCTTCAGCATCTCTGGAATCCATCTTCTAATCTCTATTCTTATAACTACCACCCTAGTATAGGCCCTCACATTAGTACTTCTAAGATTCTTGTTATATCTTCTTTGCAGATAATTCTTCTACTTTCTCCCCCGCCCCCCATCTACCCTCCCTATTAGTGCCAGAATAATTACTTACGTATAGATTTGGTCATGTTACTTCTTTGACAGTAGGGAGATGCTGGAAATATTTGAGCAATCTATATGACATTCATGGAAGTCAACAACTGACACCAGCCTGCCACTTCAGCCTTACCTCAAATTATTCCTTTCAACACACTCCAATTATGCCCACCGACAAATAGAGCAGCCCAATTGAACAACTCTGCTTCCTACCAAACTAAGCTCTGCCTCTTATTACTACCTTGACTGTACTCATATTGTTCCATAGACCTAGAATGCCCTCCTTTCCTCTGCTGAATTTCTACTCTTCCTTTAAAGACTAAATTAAATGCTACATCTTCCAGGAAGACATTCCTGATCTTCCCATACTCTTCTCTCACCATTAGTAACAACTCACTCCCTCAGACCTCTCTCACAGGTCTTTTTCTTTTGTAATTGTATGCATTATAGTCATTTGCCTAACATCTCCCGTTATATTCAAGTCTCCCAAGAAGTGGAGGCCATGTCCTAGCTGAACTTTATTTCTTTTTTTTAATCTTCTTTTATTAATTTATTTTGATTTAATCAATAATCACTTCCATATGCTTTTGAGTTTAAAATTTCCCCCCCTTCCTTCCCACCACCCTCCCCAAGATATAGGCTATACATTTACATTCATATTAAACATATTTTCACATTAGTGATGTTGTAAGTAGAAATTAAAACCAATAGGAGGAACCATCAGAAAGAGGAAACAAAACTCAACAGAAGAGAAAAAAAAATAGCAATTCGACTTGCATAGTTCTTTCTTTGGATGTCGATAGCAGTTTCCATCACAAGGCCTCTGGAGATGTCTTAGATCCTTGTATTGCCAGGAAGGGTTAAGTTTATCAATATTAGTCATCACACTGTTATTGTGTACAATGTTCTCTTGGTTCTGTTCACTTCACTCAGCATCAGACCATACAAGTCTTTCCAGATTTTTCTGAAGTCAGCCTGTTCATCATTTCTTATAGCACAATAGTATTCCATCACATTCATATACCACAGCTTGCTCAGCCATTCCCCAGTTGATGGGCATCCTCTCAATTTCCAATTCTTTGCCACCACAAAAAGAGCTGCTATGAATATTTTTGTACATGTAGGTCCTTTTCCAGTTTGTGTGATCTCTTTGGTATATAGCCCTAGAAGTGCTATTGCTGGGTCAAAGGGTATGCACATTTTTGTAGCCCTTTGGGCATAGCTCCAAATTGCTCTCTGAAATGGTTGGATCATTTCACAACTCCACCAACAATGCATTAGTGTTCCAATTTTTCCACATCTTCTCCAACATTTATCATTTTCCTGTTTTGTCATGTTGGCCATTCTGATAGGTGTGATGTGGTACCTCAGAGTTGTTTTGATTTGCATTTCTCTAATCAATAGTGATTTAGAGCGTTTCTTCATATGATTATAAATGGCTTTAATTTCTTCATCTGAGAACTGTCTGTTCATATCCTTTGATCATTTATCAATTGGGGAATGGCTTGTATTCTTATAAATTTGACTTAATTCTCTATATATTTTTAAAATGAGGCCCTTATCAGAGAGACTGGTTATAAAAATTCTTTCCCAACTTTCTACCTTCCTTCTAATCTTAGTTACATTGGCTTTGTTTGTGTAAAAACTTTTCAATTTAATGTAATCAAAATTATCTATTTTGCTTTTTGTAATGTTCTCTATCTCCTGTTTGGTCATGAATTCTTCTGTTCTCCATAGATCTGATAGGTAAACTATTCCTTGCTCTCCCAGTTTGCTTATAGTATCAGCCTTTATATCTAAATCATGTACTCATTTTGACTTTATTTTGGTATATGGTGAGATTTTGGTCTATGCCTAGTTTCTGCCATACTCTTTTCCAGTTTTCCCAGCAGTTTTTTGCAAAGAGTGGGTTCTTATCCCAGAAGCTAGGGTCTTTGGGTTTATCAAATAATAGATTACTATAGTCATTGACCACTGTGTCTTGCATATTTAACCTATTCCACTGATCCACCACTCTATTTCTTAGCCAGTACCAAGCAGTTTTGATGATTGCTGCTTTATAATACAATTTAAGATCTGGAATGGCTAGGCCACCTTCCCCTGCATTTCTTTTCATTAGTTCTCTTGATATTCTGGACCTTTTGTTCTTCCAAATGAATCTTGTTATTATTTTTTCTAACTCTATAAAATAATTTTTGGTAGTTTGATTGGTATGGCACTGAATAAGTAAATTAGCTTAGATAAAATTGTCATTTTTATTATATTAGCTCGGCCTACCCAAGAGCAACTGATGTTTTTCCAATTATTTAGATCTGACTTTATTTGCGTGAAAAGTGTTTTGTAATTGTGTTCATAGAGTTCCTGGGTTTGTTTCAGGAGGTAGACTCCTAAATATTTTATAATGTCTACAGTAAGTTTAAATGGAATTTCTCTTTCTATCTCTTGCTGTTGGGCTTTGTTGGTAATATATAGCAATGCCAATAATTTATGTGGGTTTATTTTATAGCCTGCAACTTTGTTAAAGTTGTTTATTATTTCGAGTAGTTTTTTACTTGATTCTCTGGGATTCTCTAAACATAACATCATATCATCTGCAAAAAGTGATAGTTTTGTTTCTTCTTTGCCTATTCTGATACCTTCAATGTCTTTTTCTTCTCTTATTGCTAAAGCTAACGTTTCCAGTACGATGTTGAATAACAGTGGTGATAATAGACATCCTTGTTTCACCCCTGATCTTATTGGAAATGCTTCTAGCTTGTCCCCATTACATATTATGCTTGATGAAGGTTTTAGATAGATGCTATTTATTATTTTAAGGAAGACTCCATTTATACCTATGTTTTCTAGTGTTTTTAAAAGGAATGGGTGTTGTATTTTGTCAAAAGATTTTTCTGCATCTATTGAGATGATCATGTGGTTTCTGTTAGTTTTATTGTTGATATAATGAATTTTGCTGATAGTTTTCCTTATATTGAACCAGCCCTGCATTCCTGGTAAAAATCCTACCTGGTCATAGTGTACTATTCTTGTGATAAGTTGCTATAATCTATTTGCTAATATTTTGTTTAAAATTTTTGCATCTATATTCATCAGAGAAATTGGCCTATAATTTTCTTTCTCAGAATTTTTACAACCAGTCTCTCTGATAAGGGCCTCATTTTTAAAATATATAGAGAATTAAGTCAAATTTATAAGAATACAAGCCATTCCCCAATTGATAAGAGGTCAAAGGATATATGAACAGACAGTTCTCAGATGAAGAAATTAAAGCCATCTATAGTCATATGAAAAAATGCTCTAAATCACTATTGATTAGAGAAATGCAAATCAAAACAACTCTGAGGTACCACATCACACCTATCAGAATGGCCAACATGACAAAACAGGAAAATGATAAATGTTGGAGAAGATGTGGAAAAATTGGAACACTAATGCATTGTTGGTGGAGTTGTGAAATGATCCAACCATTTCGGAGAGCAATTTGGAGCTATGCCCAAAGGGCTACAAAAATGTGCATACCCTTTGACCCAGCAATAGCACTTCTAGGGCTATATACCAAAGAGATCACACAAACTGGAAAAGGACCTACATGTACAAAAATATTCATAGCAGCTCTTTTTGTGGTGGCAAAGAATTGGAAATTGAGAGGATGCCCATCAATTGGGGAATGGCTGAGCAAGCTGTGATATGTGAATGTGATGGAATACTATTGTGCTATAAGAAATGATGAACAGGCTGACTTCAGAAAAACCTGGAAAGACTTGTATGGTCTGATGCTGAGTGAAGTGAACAGAACCAAGAGAACATTGTACACAATAACAGCCACATTGTGTGATGACTAATATTGATAAACTTAACCCTTCCTGGCAATACAAGGATCTAAGACATCTCCAGAGGCCTTGTGATGGAAACTGCTATTGACATCCAAAGAAAGAACTATGAAAGTTGAATTGCTATTTTTTTTTCCTCTTCTGTCAAGTTTTGTTTCCTCTTTCTGATGGTTCCTCCTATTGGCTTTAATTTCTACTTACAACATCACTAATGTGAAAATATGTTTAATATGAATGTAAATGTATAGCCTATATCAGATTGTGCACCGTCTTGGGGAGGGTTGTGGGGAGGAAGGGGGAGAAAAATTTTAAACTCAAAAGCATATGGAAGTGATTATTGATGAATCAAAATAAATTAATAAAACATATATAATTTTCTTTCTCTGTCTTGACTCTTCCTGGTTTATGTATCAGCACCATATTTGTATCATAAAAAGAATTTGGTAAGATTCCTTCTTCACCTATTTTACCAAATAGTCTATATAGTATTGGAATTAATTGTTCTTTAAATGTTTGATAGAATTCACATGTAAATCCATCTGGCCCTGGAGATTTTCTTCTAGGGAGCTGAACTTTATTTCTTCCAGGCACCTAGTACAGTGTTCTCTAAATAGTAGGTACTTAACAAATGTTCATTATATTGTACTGTTAACTGTACCACTATGTTGTACACTTTCTCTCTCTCTCTCTTTCTCTCTCTCTCTCACACACACACACACACACACACACACACACACACACACTTGAGTATGGTATTCAGCTCTAAAACATTTCAGAAGAGAAAAAGATGTCTCCCAGTTGAAGTGTATACACAGAAGGGTGATTGACTCAAAACCCCTTAGATGACACTAAGGCACATACAAAGCTAAGATAGGACCATTCTCTTATATAGCTCATTCTAGAAGTGGGATATAAGTATAGTCTTCTCTGTATTTAACAGGTTTTCACATGAAAAGGGATTAAAATTTGGGTCAGAAATGGAGATCATCATTTTTTCTCTTCAAATTCTAGTAAGAACCCTAAGGAACATTTCATCCTCAAAATACCAGAGGCAAAATGTCAATTATTCAATTTTTTAAACTATTTTGCTCTATTACTTGAAACAAAAGCAACTCGAGATCTTCTGGAAGGCTAAGTGACTGAAATGAAAGATAGGCTCAAAATCTTTAGGAACACTACTGCCAGGAACCATCTCTCTTGGCTTAAACCACATGATCCCTAAAATTTTGAAAACTGGAGATAATGAAAAATGGTTTCAATATTATATACTAAGTATGCCAAGAGCAGAGGGCTATCATACTCTGTTAGTCATGTAACTCATCTGTAGAAACATTCAATCTATTCTGGAGGAACATTTAATCTATCCTTTCTGTGGCTGGGTTATGATACCACTGGTTTCCATAAACCATTTCTTGCAACATTCTAAGTAATCATCACCTTAAACAATAATGAGGGCTCGAAAAACAGAAAAAAAAAATTTTCTCTTCATTTATCACTTTCAAAAACATAAGATTCTTTGGAAGGCTCAAACTCTCAAACCACAAAAAAAAAGGTGAATTTATTTTCCTTTTATGCCAATAATACTTAAGTTGGATAAGTCATTACTTAGACCAATAGGAAGGAAGGAAGTTTGGAGTCTGCAGAATCCTATTGTGTTTCTGACACTTAAGAGCTATGTGACAACGGGCAAGTCTTGCTAAACCATAGTTTTCTCTTCTGCAAAATGGTGGTTGTTACCATTGGTTTTTGTTCTTCTTGCTCGAAGAGGACCAAAATGATATCACTATGTCAGGGTCAAGGTACAGAATATTTGACTGTGGCTGATCAGAAGGCTCTACTACAGGTTAGGTACAAATAGTCCATATGAACACTTGCAGTGGAAATGTCTCTAAATTTGCATATATCACATTTCTTTTGAGCTACTGCAGTTCTACTTTGCTCCTATTTCAGAAGGTTGTTGAGAGAATTAGATAACAGATATGAAGTACTTTAAACATCTCAAACTGGTATTATTAGCAAGAGATGGTGTGCTGTAATAAGGAGGTGTCAAACTCCCAGTTCTAGTCAAAACCAGATTAAAATATAATTGGAAAGGGTTTAACAAAATAAACAGAAATAGGATACAACATAAGCAATGTTAATTTGTGTTTTTCTAAGTCAATATGTGCCCCACCGGGATCCATTTCTAGTTGAGTTTAATACTACTACTGTAGTGGGCTGAAAGGCAGTCTTAGAATAAGGGAGAACTGGGTTCCGGTCCTGTCCCTGACACATGCTAGCTGTGTGACCAAGGGAAACTTAAGTTAGGTCTACATCAGGGAGCTGTTTCCACATGGAAAGTTCCCAAAACTAAGGATATCACAGATCCAGATCCTCGACCCCAAATTTAACAGGGTCAACAAATCAATAAATACGAAGGTAATATCAATACACCAGTAATAAATGTTTCAAAGAACAAAAGAAATCCAGAACTCTTTTAGTTGCTGTGCTAAAACAAATTTTTAAATGATCAGTTTAATGAAACAAGTCAGATAAAATCTGAAGTTCTATTCAAAATCCTATCTATTATCCTATTTTAAGGGATATAATGAAGAAAGAAAAGACTAATAAAATATTGTCATTCTATTTCTTAAAAGAAATATTTTACTTCTTTATCAAATTAGATCCAGAATTCAAATGTAAAGACAGCAGATGTTAACCTACCTGTCATACCGCAAATTCTGAGGAGAATGGCCACCATTAAATTTGGGACTGCTTCTAGAGAGTGTGCTCCCTGGTGATATATTATTTATACGCTGTATTAAAAAAAGATACTCATTAATCAGACAAGCTTTTTCAAAATATGAAAGAAAACTTTATGTGTTGACTCACTATTCTCCTGTTTACTTCTTATCGTTGAGTTGTTTCAGTCGTATCTGACTCTTTCTGACCCCATTTCGGGTTATCTAGACAAAGATACTGGAATCGTTTGTCATCTCCTTCTCCAGCTCATAGTACAGATGAGGACACTGAGGCAAACAGGGTCAAGTGACTTGCCCAGGGTCAACATGGCTAGTAAGTGTATGAGGCCACATTTGAACTCAGATACTCCTGACACCAGACCAGGTACTCTATCCACTGTACCACCTAGCTGCCCTCTCCTGTTTATTAGTTCTGTGTCTTTGGGCAAATCATCTAATTTCTCAGGATTTCATTGGGGCAGGATAAGAATAGCACTGCCTCCCACACAGGGTTATTGTGAGGGTCAAATGAGTTAACATGTGAAAATTCTTGATAAAAAACACATCACCATGTACATATAAGTTGGCAGTAATTCTTTGTGTATAATACTCTTTCTTAAAGAGGCATTAGAAACACAGCTACCATAAATACCCTGGGTGGGGGGAGAAGGGGAAGTACAATGATTCAAAAAGTTCAAGTAGGAGGATCTGCTTGGCATTGTCTTTTTTGGTATAAATGAATTTTAAATTCCATAGTTCTAAGTCTAGTCACATTCTGGTTTTATATTTGACAAAATCGTTTATCCCAACTTTCTAACTCCCTCTTCTCAGACCTTAGTGGGTTTTAGAGAGACCTTTTTTCCAAACCCAAAGACATGTTATGCAGCAGAGGTAAGCTATTCTAGAGAAGAGATAGACCCAGAATGCTTTTCTATTGAAATTAGTGCAGTTAGCTACACCAGTCGACTTACTGAAAAATCAATGCTTGATTTGGCCTGGCCGAGTAGCAGTAAAAGTTTTTCAATCATAGAGTGCTAAAGCCCAAGGAAGACTTAGAGATCATTAAGTTCAACTCTATCATTTTAACAAAAGAGAACCTAAGTAAGGCCTAGAGATGGCTAAGTGACTTGTCCCCAGTTATATAGCACACACATATATATACACACACAGATATAGATAGATAGATAAATATAGCTAGTTATACAGATATAGATACTCATATATATGAGATCAGAAAGTAATCTGGGAATGTTTTCAAATCTCAAATGTTTACTTAACACAATTCCTCAGGATTGTTCAAAAACAGAATTTCTCCCTGTAATAAATATTAAGATATAGAGAATAATAATTAAAATCTGAAATATCAAATACACCATATGTAAGAGGACAGGTGGCACAGTAGACAGAGTGCCAGGCTTGGAGTCAGGAAGACCCGAGTTCAAATCCAGTCTCAGTCACTTACTAGCTATGTGACCCTTGACAAATTACTTAACTCTGTCTGCCTCAGTTTCTTTATCTGTAAAAGAACTGGGGAAGGAAACGGCAAATCATTCCAGCATCTTTGCCTAGAAAACCCCAAATGGGGTCATGAAGAGTCGGACATTACTAAAAACAATTGAATAATAACAAAAGAAAATAACATCCAATGGTGTTTTCAGGGGGAAAAAAAGCCCTTTTTTAAGGACTAGCATCTTTTTTTTCCTTTTGGTAAAATTATATCACTGTTATATGTTAATAATCAGAGGCTTCTACTAAGAAGATAGACCTTCAGAATATTATATATTATATATACAATTGCAAAGTATATTATAAAAATATAATACATACCAAGGATCTGTTGTATTTACTATATGTGTTTTCCAGTGCACTTCTTAATCCATCATTACTGTCATGTAATTTTCTGTTGGCTGTTCTATAGTAAAAAAAAAAAAAGAGAGAGAGAGAGAGAGAGAGAGAGAGAGAGAGAGAAAGAGAAAGAGCAGAATTTAAAAGGCCTAAAAGCAAAAACTTGCTTTTTCAAATGATGAGGTTCAAAATATGGGATGGTATTCTATAAAGTCCTCTTTTTTTCCTCCCTACTGAATCACTGAATATCAGTGATGGGCAGCACCTCAAAACCATGTGGCCTAATAAAATTATCTTAAAGAGAAAAATTGGAAGTGAGAAGCTAAATGACTTAGCTGAAGTCACAAAGCTTATGAGAGGCAGAGAGAGAATTTCAATTCATGCCCTCCAACTTTAAATCCAATATCCTTTCAAGCAGACCGGTACTTTAGGAAGGTTACCAATGTTTATTGCTGATGTAACTAGAGCACTGGAGATGTTAAAACTGACATGGTCAGTGGCACATCTAGTCTAAATTACCTCCGCTTATGAGGACTTACCTGGTTACCTTTGTAATGGCAAAACAACTAAATATCTGTTGAAGCCAAAACTGTGGCCAGATGAGCTCACTCAACTCTGCCTCCTCTTTTCTATACTTAATTCACCATTTAGGCAAGATGAGTACTGATGTATGCCTCCAAAAGTAGACTATCTCTATAGTCTTTAGATAAAAGAAATTATTATCATCTGAAAACAAAGATGCAACCAAAAAGAATTCAGAGGAAAAACTCCCTACAATATGCCTGACATAAAAGACATATATATACTTCAGCATATAGATATATAATCTAAATAATTGGCTACAGGTTCTTCATAAACTATCCGTCGTCATCAATAGCTCATTGTAACATGGGGAGTTGTCACTATTATTTTGGAGGAAAGGGATCAGTAGACAATCCTTTAATAACCTTAAAGGTGCATTAAGACTTTGGGGACGCCCTCTGTGTGCCAGGAGGAAACACTCAGCCACATCCCAAGATCACTTTTGGAGATCCATCCTCTATTTATTGAAAAACCAATGCTTGATATGCAATTCAGTTATCTCAAAGAGCTAAGTGAATGTGCTGAATAAAATGTAATGACAAGAAACACATATTTACCTGCATTTCCATCCTCAGGATTCAGTTTATTATTCTGCTGTACACACAACATAACATTTATGAAAAAAGAACAGTGAAAATAGCATATAATGAAGGTAATTTATGGGAACTTACTGAAGCATTTCAATTTGCCTCTCAAGGCAATCTCTGTCTTCAGTATATTCTCTGATTATTTCCAAGTCCCTGTAAAATCACATTTTGCATTTAAATGAGAATTTTTGGATAAGCTCTCTATTTCCAGTGATTTCCATTACCACCCCATAGGACCTTCTCCACCTTCCTTAATGATTTCACTTCCTATGCCCATATTTTTCCTCCATTTTGTCTGCTGCCTTCAACCTCATTGACTTCAAAAGTCAATTTCATCATCCATCTAACACTCTAACCTCAAGGTGCCTTCAGTGCTCTAGATTTGAAAGACCTTCATCTCCAGTTCCACATCTGACATCCATAAGTACAGCTACTTTTTCTATCTATCACCTGCTCCACCTTCGGATATAGGGATTTATAGGATCATACGTGTAAAACTGTAGAAGATAATAGAGGTCATTAAAGCCAAACCCTTCATTTTACAGATGAAGGAATCTAAGACTATGAAGGATTAAGTGACCATCCCAAGGTCACACAGTTAGTATGTGTCTGAGGTAGGATTTGAACTCAGGTCCTCCTGACTCCAACAAAGCCCAGCACTCTATCCACTAGGCTACCAAGTTGTCTCTGTGTTCTCCAGCTACAGTATTCTTACCTGATACACTCTTCATTCTCACAAACTCATTCAATCTGCTTTTCCCACTCTTACTGGGTTGAGGGAAAAATCTCTTCACCAGTCCCTATGAGTACTGACGACCTCACAGTCACATTTGATGTATTAATTAGTCTGTAATTCATGGCCAGTCAACATAGCTCTCATCCATACCTCTCTCTTCATCCTCTTAATTGTCTTAACTGCACCAATCCCAACTCCTCCATTACACACTTCGTCCAAATCCACATCTTCTACCCCTGCTCCAAGGTCACAAAGTATTGATAGAAGAAGGCATATTGAATAGGCCCACTACAAATTCATCCTAATAAATTGAGTAACATTTATCAAATTGCTTCTTGATTTCTTTATGTATCCCACCATGAAACCTCGCTATTCCAAAGTTTCTCTACTTTCTTCAAATCTCACATCCCACTTTACCCTCTGATTTTGTTAATATAACCAAATTATCCTCTTCCTTGACTGAGATACAGTTAACCAACATAAGGTCCTCCCCCTCTCCCCCCCCTTTCTCCATCTCTCTCTCTGTTTCTCTTCCTCCCCTTCCCGCTTTCTCTCCTCCCCACCCATTTTCTCCCCGTTTTTCTTTCTCTTGCCCTCAATTATGACTTTATTTTCTCCACTAACAGAAGAAAGAGTTTTGTCACCTTCCCTAGACTAATCTTTCCTCCAAAGTTCTCAATTCCATCTCATCTTCCATTCCTCTAGGGCCTTGTCTCTTCCATAAGTCCCCCCCTCTCTTTCTAGCATCATCTGTTCTTTCCCCTATGAATTGAAACAGACATCATTCTACCTCATACAAGATGAAAAACACAAATTCTACATGACCCTGCTGATCCTTCCTGACATTTATCCCTCCCTAATTTCCAACCCCCCCCCATCCTATTACAATGCTATACATAGTTCTACAGTGTTAATCAACACAAACACTTTAAGAGCAACTTTGCCGTTAAGACTGGTACCTTGATTTCATAAGGCAACTCTTGCATTGAGATAATACTGATAGAGACCTGGCTTATGAGTCAGGAATACCTGGGTTCAAGTACCATCTTTGACATATAGTACCCTGAGTAAGTCATTTAACCTTTCAACGCCCCCGGAAACTCTCGAAATCCAAATTACAGAGCAGTTGCTAATCTGCACCGCTAATAGAGTTTCCTTAACTTCCTTAAGGAGTCCCAAAATAATCGTAGTGTCCATTTAAAAAAAAATCTGTTTCATAACAGTATAGAAAATTACACTTTGAATGCAGATGTCTCTGCTCAAATCTATTAATCTCCCTAAAATTTAGTTTCCTTTTTTGTACTAAGTTAATACATCTGGTGTCTGACTTAATAGATATGGGGGGGAATACAAAACTGCATTTTTCAGAGAAAGTGCTCTTGACACACTGTTGCTTTGTGGTATGGAACTATCAATGTGAACACAGTCTAATTTGTTTTTCTAAATTTCACTCTTCACGATAATGCTATTGAGACGCTTTTATATAAAGTTTATACCACTATTAAGCCTCAGAATAGAAATAAATTAGCAACTATTTACTGAAAGTCTTAACTTATTAACACCCATCCAGTCGGGACACCATGCTCCCACTGTTACCACATTTGGCATGGTTATCAGGAACTAAGCAGAAAGACAGTCAGTACTTGGATGGAAAGAGCAAGGACTTCCAGATCCTTTGGGAAATAGTGTTAGTAACTCAGAGGGTGGTACTGTTACTCTTAAAGCACTTTTCATGAATTGTAGGGAAAATAAGCCAATTTATATAGCATTTGGATATTTGCAGCTAAAAGCAACTAATCATAGGATGCAAGGAAAGAAATCACCATGACTTATAAAAATTTGGGTGTAGAACATTATGGTAAAATTAACTACTGATGTACCTTATTAAATTCATGTAATATATATGATTTCAAAAAGTTGTATGCAAATCCAATTTAGTAAGTTAAATTGTACTTTCCTATTCAACTACATTATGATTTCAGAAAAAAAATTTATCCTCAATTAAACAAAATAATTTTTAGTAGATGCTAGGAATCTAGTAAAGTATTATACTAGCTGCTGAGGAAAGTAGAGGAAATGCAAAGATGACATCCCTGCCTTCAAAGGAGCTGCAGTTGTAAGTGGCTAATATTTTATTCTATTTCTCAGCTCCTAGTTTATTATCAATATCTTTAAAAAAAAGTCAAGCAAACATGTTGCTGCATGCATTTGTATAATTGGGAAGACTGAGACTGGTAGAGTGCTTAAGCTTGGGAGTTCTAAACCTCAGTAAGGCTAAAGACAATTGGAGGTCCCCACCAAGTTTAGCACTAACATGCTGAGCACTGGTTAGGGGGCAGAGTTTGCAGCAAGCTGCCCAAGGAAGGTCAAAACTAGTCCCGTTCAGAAACAGGGCAGAAGAAAGCTTCTTCACTGACCTGCAGTGGGATCAAGCCCATAAGAGACAGTTGTACTTTCACCTTGGGCGAGATAGAGAGCTATAGTCTCAAAAATAGAAGAAAAAAAAAAACCTCATAAATGCTAAGGTATAGCTATTTAAAAAGCCCTTTTTGAAAAGTGAAAACAATTTTTGATAAAAGTCAAAAGTAACTAAATTCTTCCCTAATATGTTTTTAAAGTCGTGCTTTTTCTTATTTCCTTAAAGGAAGGACTATGTTACAAATGTAACTAAATAGCCACTTATCAAAACAAAAAAAAATTTGCAAATATATTTAAACACACATACACACATACCCATACCAATACTAAAGCACATGCTGAATTCTCCCAATTTAAAAATAACATGCAAAATTCCATACCTTTCTGAATTCAGACTTTGATCAGCATAGTCACTTTTCAAGGCATCTAATTCACTCTGAAGAAAGGCTATGTTTGTTTGTGCTTCTAAAAGATCTTTTTTAACTTTCTGATTTTCCTAAAGGAAAGTTAAATTTATTTGTTACTATGCTTTTCAACCAAGGAAAAATGGAAAAAAAGACTTCTCTGAAGAATCATGCCACACAGCAAAGGAATATGAATGAAGTTCCTTTTTTTTTTTAAGAGCCAGTGGAAAAAAAATAATGCATCAAAATCTGAATTGAGTCATCACATAAATTTCAACCTATACAAACTCAAAATCCCTAAAGTTGTCTTCCCCATTTCCATTCTCTCTATTGTCCCAGAGTTATACACATATAAACACATACACACACACACATTTATACTTAATAAAAAGGAGCAAAAGATATACTTTTTCAAAATACTCTCTGGTGAAATGAAAATCTACATCAGAAATAACAGATCTACTTAACAAGAAATCACTAAATATTCAATTGAGTATTTTAAAAAATGATCTGCTACACAGCCTATCCAGTCCTTAGAGATTTTTCAATTGCTTATGCTGGATATTAACAAGTGATTAGTATTAACATTTTTCTGGAAAAAGTAAAGCTAATGTAGAGCAGATAGGTATCTTGGTCAAGTGGGCAAGGACCTGTCCTTGAAGACAAGACAGCCTGGGTTCAACTCCACCTATGACACATATGGGTTGGGTGACTCTGGCACTTATTAAGCCTTTTAATGTTCTAGGTAACTCTGTAGGACTGTAAGTCACAGAAAAGGTGTCTCCCTAGATCAGTAGGATCTATTTCCTCATGCAAGGAAATCACAAATCCGGGCCCTTTTTCCTATGAAGAATTTACTACTTCTTCCTAAAAGTGACTGTGACAAGGGAACCCCATGACATAAAAAGTACCTTTGTCCACAGGCACCTTGGAGCAATTTTTAAATGAGTATTGTACACATTTTCTTTTAAGTTTCCATTCTTGTCACCATAACAGCATTGCTGTGTTTTGAAAAGGGCCATCCCACATAAAACATATTTCCTTAAATAGAAATGTAATTCTTACTGTTGACAAATCATAAATTCTTTTCTTTAATGCAGCCACATCTTCTTTTTGACTTAAGGTCTTTGACTGTTCTTCCAGCTGAAAGAGAAAATAAAGTACACCTGTTTATCACCAAATTCAGGTTGAGCTAATTAAGGTTCACATCTCTGCATACAATGTCAGTTCATCATACGGGGGAAATTTTTTAAAATTATCTTTATGTGTAATTTAAAAATACTATTAAAAATAAAAAATATTTTTAAAGTGAAAAAAAATCAGTGAATGGGCTTAGTAGCATGCTTTGCCTTTGCCTCATATTTAAATTTTTTTCATGCCTGGTTCTAAAAAGGGAAGCCCATATTTCCTAAAGGCAGATATTTAAATTTCCCATTGCTGCTAGGGAGGGTCAGAGTTGCTGAAGATGGAAAGCTACAGAACCATGGCTGTTCACCTTTTTTAGTTTTTTGATGGTCACCTGAAGTTCCCCTACTTCTGCTTCATACTGACGTTTAAGATCATTTAGTGCCTCTTCAGCTTTTCGTTTCTCCTAGAAAAAAAAAAGACGCTTCATAAGATCAAATGCCCATTCATCCAAAAAAATTTAGTTAGCCCCTGCTCTGTAAAGAGACTTGTGTTAGGTGCTGGGCAACATAAAAAGCCTAGATATTAATAGCATCTGCAGAACTTTAAGGTTTGCAGAGCACAGTACATGCATTATCTCATTTGATCCTCACAATAATCCCATGAGGTAGAGCTTATTAATACCCTAATTTTATAGATTAGGAAATTGAGGCAGAGAAAGGATAAGAGACTTGCCCAGTAATTGTCTAAGGAGAGAACTGGGTCCTCCTGATTCCAAGTCCAGTATTCTTGACTACTGCTTCCAATTAGCTGCTTCAATAAGACATGGTTACCACCATCATGATGGGGATGTAGCTGGGGGGATTGGGGGTGTGGGGGAGGGGAGATAAAAAAAGAAGGCAAGGGAAGGGCCATCCATCCCAGTCTCAAAAACTAAGCAAAGGTTGGGGTGGGCTTCTGAGGTATGGAAGAGGGAAGAAGGAATTCATGACAGATTTCTTGATTTTCTCAAGAAAGTAGGAGGGAAATTCTGTTGAGAAACAAGATCTAATGTACAGGACTGAAGAGAAAATATTTGAAAGTCACTGTGTAGTCATGAAGGGAAGAAAAAGAGATTGGATGGTAGTATGGAGTAGTGGGAGGGGAGTAAGGATAACAAGGATGAGAAGTGTTTTGGCCGCTTTTTTAAAAGCTGGGAAAGAAAACTCAGCATGTCTGTAGTCGGAGGAAAAGGACTTAACTTTTGTTGAATGGAGAAACAGGCCCAATGATCTAACCACTGAACTGATTCTGGAATCATGGGACATGGGTTCGAATCCTGCCTCTGATAATTCCTACTTGTGTGACCTTGGAAGTATCATTTAACCTCCATGGGCTTCATTTTCCTCATATGTAAAGTGAGGGGGTGATATTAGATGGCTTTTGAGGTCCCCATCTGTAAAATGAGCTGGAGAAGGAAATGGCAAACCACTCCAGTATCTTTGCCAAGTAAACCCCAAATGGAGTCACAAAGAGTTGGATGCAACTGAAACATTGAATGAACAAGGACAACAACGTCCCCTACAGCTCCAGATCTATAACACCACAGCCCCTGTGATATTCATATGCTTATCTTCTCTTCTAGTTACAAAGGTTTTCCTCCCTAGGACTCTCCTTAAATTGGACAAGAACAAAAGGGCCATTATGGCCTGAGCCATCAATTGCCTACATGACATTCCAGTTTCAGGAAGCAAAGACAGCCCCTTAAAGAAAAAAATTCCAATATCCAGCTTCTCCTGGTTCCAATTACTTCAGCGATGTTTATTAAAAGAGAAACATCTTGCAGATGAGGGGTCACATAGCCCTTAGCTGGGTTCCAAATGATGAACCACAGTGGAGTCCCAAAGTAAGCTGTGTAATCACCTTCTTTGCAGGGCTGACATATTTACATTCAAACAAAATTATGTATCCCAATAGCCAGCACCTATCACCACGATAGCAAATCACTCTGACACCAAGTTGCTCTGACAAAGGCACCGTGTTACCACGAACAATACAGTAGGGGAAGACATTTTTAAGAAATGTTAAACCCCAGTTGTTCTCAGATCAAAAGTGTGGAATATGTCAGTTCAATGCAGGAGGGGCTGAATGTGAAGGTCAGGTTTGACAGACAGGAAGTGTGAACAAGTGAACCTAAATTATAACAAAGAAAAAAAAAAGGCTGATAATGTGCTAGATTTTAAAGGGCTCTCAAAATGAAAAGAAGTAAAATGCCAAGCAGGAGGGCAGCAAAGGAGATGAGGGAGATTTGTGCACATCTAAGTAAAGTTGTTAAATTATATTTCAAAATCTATTAAGGCAGCCCATTAAATAATAAGCTGTGACTTTGGAGAGCAATGAGCTGGAACTTCAGGCTGTGTGTGGAGTTCCCAGCACCCAGAAACCATCCCCTCTGACAAAACTTGCAAGAATTCTCCAGATAATATTTGCAGTGAGAGCTTCTTAATTCTAGGGTTTTCCTGATTCCTAATAGTGTACTTATGACTAGGAATAGAGGAGAAGCTCCTGTCTTTCACTGAAATTTGCTTCTTATCTGATTTCAAATTGTCTGCCAGGGTAGAACCAGGTGGCACACTGGATATAGACAGCTGGGCCTGGAATCAGGGAGATTTGAGTTCAAATCTGGCCTCAGACACTTACTACTGAGGTGACTCTGAGCCAGTGATTGAACTCCTCTGCCTCAGTTTCCTCAACTGTCAAATGAGGATAATAATAATACCACCTTTCTCCAAGGCTTGTTGTATCAAATGAGATAATATTTGTAAAGTGCTTAGCACAATGCACATGGTAGGTGTTTAATAGATGCTTGTTTCCTTCCTTCCTTTGTGACCCTGGACAAGTCATTTAACCTCTGCCTGCCTTAGTTTCCTCATCTATAAAATGAGGATAATAATAGTACCTACCTGTGTGACCCCTCATCTGCAAGATATTTTTCTTTTAATAAATGTTACATTTAATAAATGTCATAAATAATAATAGCACAACAACTTGGGTTGTTATGAGTATAAAATGAGGTATTATTTGTGAAGACTTTGGAAGGCTTAAAGCATTGTTATTGTTATGGTCATTATTATTATTATTATTATTACTACTACTACTTCTCCAAAGTGATTCTGCCAAAAGATCCTCTCCTCACTTCCCTCCTTTCTCCTTTTATGTCCTAACAATCACAAGGACTTGCATTCACTAGTTAGTAAAAACCTTTCCCCCAGCCTCCCACAAATCACAGGAATCATAGGGATTCTAGATCTAAAACAAAAAGGGATCTTCAAAGGTCATCCAGTCCAATGCCCTCAGTTTTATAGATGGAGGAACTAAGTCCCAGGTATATTAAGTGAGTTCCTCAATGTCAAACAGGTAATAACTCCCAGTGGCAAGTTTTGAACCTGTACCTTCTGACACCAGATAGTACCATATTGCTTCCTTCCAAATAATATACAGGTTTTAAGAAAAAATAGAATAAGGAAAATTTTGAAAATTTAGCAAATTCTCTCTGCTTTTCACTTTCTACTCAATAGAAGAAAAGTAGGCCTTCATACAAATACAGAGGGTCACCCAGAATTTTTTCACTTAAGCCCAGGTCCTTTCACAGGGATTCCACTCTTGAGAAAGAACACTGTGTTATAGGACCCAGGTTCACATTGTATGCAGCTTTGGCAAAGTCACATATTCTCTGTCAGCCTCAGTTTCTCTTCTCATATCTCATCTCTCTCATTTCTGTCTCTATCTCTGTCTCTGTCCTCTCTCTCCCCTGTCTCTTTTTTTCCGTCTTCTCTCTCTCTCTCACTCTCACTCTGTGTGTGTGTGTGTTAGACTAGAGCAAGCATTATTAACTTTTTTGAGTCATGAACCCCTTTGGGAGTCTGGTAAAGCCCATGATCCCTTCTCACAATCTTTTTTAACCTAAAATTAAATTCATAATTTCAATCTCTGCTCCCAAAAGCAACATTAAAAGGCAAGAATGGGTAAAAACTCCCCTAGGGTGAGTTATTCCACCTCTCTGATTATCCTTTGATGGAGAGCACTTAGTGTTGTTGTTGTTCAGTCATATCTGACTCTTCATGACCCCATTTAGGTTTCTCTTGGCAAAGATACTGGAGTGGTTTGCCATTTCCATTCATCAGGTCATTTTACAGAAGAGGAAACTGAGGCAAACAGGGTTAAGAGACTTGCCCAGGTTCTCTATCTACTGTACCACCTAGCAGCCAGAACCCTTAGCACTGGGATACAAATGTCCATCACTATCATGATCTGTTTTTCTGAATAACAACCACAGTAACAACTAACATCTATAAAGCTATTTAATATTCGCAAAAATTTTTTGCATACATCCTCCCATCTGATTCTCAAAACAGACGTGGGAGGCAGGGAACGCGCTTATCCCATCTTTCAAAATAGAGATATGGAGGCTAAAAGTACCAAATGATCTGCTCACCTAGGTTCTCACCTGGGCAGTGTTCATGCTGGGATTCAAATTCAGATCTCACAGTCAACACTAAGGACAAGAAGAAACTTCATCATTCTAAACTTTTAAATATCATACTACAAAATAATGTATCATTCCCACTGGGATGGTTTCCTATAGCCTATGCCAGAACTTGTTTTCCCTACTCCATCATCACCACCATTAATTTAAAACATTTGGGCTATGTGGCTGCACAGAGTAAGTAGAAAAAAGGCTGGACTTGGAATCATCTGTAAAATGGGAACTATAGTAGCTACCTCCAGGATAGCTGCCATTAAGATCAAATGCAATAATATGCCTGATAGACTTTAAAGTGATAGAGAAATATCCAGTATTTTTATCACAACCTCCCATTTCTCCTGGTTTATTTTTAATCCATCAAGACAGATTGAAATTTAAAAGAAAGTCTAAACTTCCATTTTTAAAAGAAAGTCTACTTCTTGATTTTTCAGTACATGTGTTTTGCAAGCATCTATAAGATAAGCATGTTAGTAAAAGGAAATATATCCCAAGAAAAATGAAATGATCTTTCACCTGAATACCACAGATAGAATATTGGGCTTAGAATCAGAAAGAACCAAGTTTAAATCCTGCTTCAGTCACATACCCCAGGCAAGTCACTTAACATCTATGGACCTCAGTTTCTTCATCTAAAAAATTAAGGAAATGAACTCAATGACTCTTGCCCTAAATCTATGATCCTACATTTTCTATTCATAGATACCTTTTCATTTACTGAACTATAGACACACCAAGCATCTGCTATTCTACAGCTGAGTGCAACTGAGGTACAGTTAAGTAATGACTTGACCAAGTCTCCTTAATAAACTAGTATCAGAAATAGGCCTCCTTATTTCAAAGGCACAAAGTTTGGATTACTCAGCCATAGCTACTTAATACAGCACACGTTTCATTGGGTGTAAAAAAATGAAAATATTTTTCAAATAATTCATAAGGAGCAAATTATCCTGATCTATCCAAATGTATTTCCTTTTAGCTAGATAGAGGCAAACTAAGGTTTTAAATGAGATGGGGATAACTATCAGCATGACAGAACCTAAATCTCTTAAGTGCTATGTTCACCAAGGTTAAGTATTTTACAGGGAATCATAGAAGCTCTTCTAAACATCAGTGCAATAGTCCCAAAGTAGATAATCTCCATAAAACTAAGACAATAAAAACCAATTATAACATTTCCCTCCAGAAACATTTTATTTTCTTTGTCCCCAGGGCAAAATCAGGAAGAAGTTTCATCTTGCTTGCTGCTTACCCAGAGAAGACAGCAACAGTAAGAGCCCTAAACTCTAAGACTAAGTGTATTTTGAAGTAAACATGCAGTGGTACTACTTGGCAAAATTGTAATTTCAATGCTGAATTCTAAGGCTTGTGATGCATTGTCATTTATTATTAGAAATCTATGCACAAGATGAAACAAAAGAAGAATTACCGTTTCCCCTATTTAACTGAAATATGGGCTAATGTGGGCAAAAGTTCCACTTAGTGGACAACCAGCCAACCAGTATCTGAGCATCTACCACGTGCCCAATACTATGCCAAACTCTGTGGGTGATATAAAAGAATCCTTAGCTATTTGGCAACTTCACTTAACTACAGCCCAACTAAGAATCAGAAACTAAACAAAAAAGTCATCTGACAAGCCAAAATAGAAGTCACAAAATAGATGCAAGGAAGCTAATGGCTCTAATTATAGAGTTCCAGCTTGCCCTCACTGAGCCTATTTAGTCTCATTTAGACACATTTCTAACAAAGGTGATTAACTTGTTTTTTGAGTCTTCCATAGAACAGAAGCAGCAAATTGGAAAAAGAGAGAGTGGCTGCCTCAAGCAGGCCCTCTGACAAAAGCAAAAACACTACAGGAAAGGAAGAAGACAGAACGCTTATGAAAAGCACACACGAGCACTCAAAAAGCAAAGCAATATAAAACCATTTAATAGAGGAGCCAATAGTTCTGTATACCTTCAGATAGGTCCTGAGGGCATCACCCTATTATAGAATAGTAGAATAAGTGTTAGTAATATATAGTAAATAATAGCATCTTATTTTTAGCTATATAGATTCATATTGGATTCAAATAGTAAATAATAATACAATAACATGTTTACAAACATGGCCCTGAGTCTAAGTTCAGGGATGTTCAGAATATTCTGCTTAACAAGAAAGGGAAGTAATAGATTTTAGATTCTCAGCCAAAATGGTTAGAATATAGTTTTAATGTTTAAAAGGATAAATCTTCCATGATCTAATTCCTGAGTTTTTTATTCTTTGAGACTGGAGTTCTGGCCTCAGGAAGCTTATAATCCACAGGAGAATTCTGAATTAACATATATGAAGCAATTAGGGAACAAATAAGTAAGTGCTAAACCATGTAGTATTGACTTAAAATGACAAGTAAGAAGATGTTAGTCTTGCATGAAGTCATGAAGTAATGTCTCAAGGAAGAGAAGGGGGTCTTGAGTTAGGTGCTGAAGAAACTTGATAAGCTGAATGCTAACTGGAGAGGAGTTTTTTGATGCATAGCAATGGGAAATAAAGCTGGACAATCAGAGTATTGAGAGTGAGGTCAGATAATGAAACCATTGAATGTCTAGCAGAGAAATTTGACCTTGATAATAAAGCAGCATTTTACATTTTTAAGTAGGACATGATGAAAATGGTTACTGAGGAAGATTAGCTAGGCAGTATGTGTGATATGGACTCAGAGAGTCTGGGTAGGAAAATGTTGCTGTAATCCAGGCATAAAGAAGATCTTAATCAAAGAGGCATAGATTTAGAACCAGAAGTGATCTCAGAGCCCACCTAGTTCCCCATACCTACTACACACAAGGAAAGTGAAGCACAGATAGGCTAACTCCCGGAGGTTACAAAGATTAGCATTGTTAGACCTGAGAGTGGTTGGACTTAGACCCAACATCAAATCCAGGAGAAGAAAGGTTATAAGGGGAGGGAAGAGGAGGGGAGAGAAAGGGTGTAAAGGAGAGGAAAATGCTACTACTTTTATTCTCCGTATGCAAACCTGCATTGTGAACTCCAAACACTGCCAGAGATACATCAAAAAAATGTTCTGAACCCTGGGATTGAATGACAGTGGGAAATCAAGGGAGGTTAGGAGCCCATAAATAAGAAGAGTTTTAAATCTGAGGGATTAGAAAGGAGCCAAGTTTGCACAATGAGGAGAAGCTAAGTGCTGCAGTAGATAGAGCACTGGGCCTAGAACCAGAAAGATCAGAGTCCCAAACTGACCTCAGACACTTACTAGCTGTATGACCCTGGGCAAGTTACTTAATCACTGCCTGCATAAAACTGGATAAGGAAATAGCAAACCACTCCATTATCTTTGCCAAGAAAATCCCACGGACAATTGGTTCACAGGGTCATAAAGCGTTGGACAGACTGAGTGAATGAACACCACCACCACCATCTACACAATGAGACAATGGAAAAGTCAGTGGTGCTAGAGAAATGATAATAGTAGAACTGAGTGGGGTTATCACTAAAAGCCTGGGGGAAATATGCTAACATTATCTAGAGACATCACTTTCCACTTTTTACTTAATGAAAAAGAAGAGTCTGGATGGAAATAATTTCCTTCAATTCAAGCTGCAGTTGCAGCAAACTATAATGAAGAGGAAAAAAACAAGAACTGGCTAAGTTCCAGGGCATAACAATGAAATTTAGAGACACAGTTTGAAGTCTATTGAAGTCACAATTTGAACCTGGCTTCAGGTGTCCTTCAAATAAACAGAAGTAGGAACTATCTGCTTTGCCAGAATCTGTGCTGATGCCGACAGCTACAGACGTGGCAGGAGGCTGTCTTCCACGCTGACGTCTGCAGGCAATGGCAATACCAGACACTTACATCTTTCCTTGTTTTATGTTCTGTGGCCTGGATCCTCTGATCCATTTCCTCTTCCAGCTCACTCAGCTGCATGGCGGCTTTGTCCTGGGCTCTGAAAATTTAAAAGGGCACACACTCCGATTCACCTTTGTTATTTGAAGACACAATAATGAGAGAGACTCTCTTCATTTCCTTCATGTGCACACATGCATTCTGAACTGTAACCACCCCCCGAAGATATGTCATTGAACAGATAAACACCAAACTGCCGGGGCTGGCAGTTAATTTTTACAATATTTGCTTCTTTAAATCATGTAACCACCATAACCGCCAATCGTGAAAAGCCCACATTTCTATAGCACTTTAAGATTTATTTTAAGATTTTAAGAAATTTTCCTTCATAACTATCCTCTGAGGTAGGTAAAAAAAAAGTAATGCTATCCCCATTTAACAAATGGGCAAACTGAGGCTTGAAGAGATGAAATGATGTTGTCCAGTGTCACAAAGCTCGTGAGCATCTCATCTGGGATTCACATTCCAAGTCTAACATGGTTTTTTTGTTGTTGTTGTTTGGTTTGTTTTTTCACTTTTTGCTAGGCAATGGGGTTAAATGACTTGACCAGGGTCACACAGCTAGTAAGTGATAAGTGTCTGAGGCTGGATTTGAACTCAGGTACTCCTGACTCTAGGGCTGGTACTCTATCCACTGCGCCACCTAGCTGCCCCTCCCCATAGCATGTTTTGCTATGAGGATATTGAATAGTAAAGGTAAGGGTTAAGTATATAGCACCAACTATGTGCCAGTCACCATGCTGTGTTTTACAAACATTATCCCATTTGATCCTCACAGAGGTTTGCTGCTTGTCCTCTGTTCTCGAAGAGGACCATGACACCAGGGAGGTGATGCCATGACAAGCAAGTGAAACGATTTAAGTGAGGGAGGGCTGGGCAAGGTCACCAGCTTCACTTTCTCCTCCAGAGTCATATGGGTCCAGCAGCCAGATGTAGATCAGGACGACTGGAGATGGCCCAAGATGCAATGGGGAACCTTGGCCTTTTCAGACTAAGGTCTTTAATAGGTCCCTGTTTGACTGGGGCAACACCCATTCTGTGATTAATGTTTAATCACAGAAAACCTGAAAGTTAGATGCAGTTAGTATTATAGTTGAAGAAACTAGAACAGATTAAGTGACTTTTACCCAGGGTCACACAGCTATTAAGGATATGAGACTGGATTTGAACTCAGGTCTTACAGACTCCAGGCCTAGAGCTCTAACAATTGCACCACCACAACAACTGCAAAGGTAACAAAGACATATCTGTTAAACATATTTTATAACTTAATTATAGTAACCATATCACAGGTTAAAATAGAAACAAAAACTGGCACAGGGGAACAGAATGACAAATTCCCCAAATGATAAAACTGAATTCTAGTAGAAGTCCTTAAAATTCCAGTTCATGGAAGATGAGTTTATACTTCAACCACACTTTGGTTCTTAACTTAATTCTAAGAATAAATCATTTTTTTAAAAATCTGAAATCAGGGAGTGGGGTTGGGACAGGAAAATATATTGAAAGTGGTTTGGGTTTTATGCTTAACGCTAAAGCTAATTTTAAAATCATTTCATATATATCATTCAGTTCCCAGTATTTCAATACTATAGGGAAAGGTAAGTAAATGAAGTACATGAACTCTAAAAAATTTGCTTTTAGTCCAAAAATGATATGGTTTTAGGTCTGTATTTAAACTTACCTCACACACAGGCTTGCTCAGGCCATGGTGGCTTGATTCTATCCATTCCATTTTTTTCCTCATATATTCAGTTGCTAGTTGAGTACAAGCATTAAATGTGTCCCGTCTACATATATGTGTGTATGTGTGTGTGTGTATGTATGTGTGTGGATAAATGTATTATATATGCATATGTATATATGTAACATGTTATATATTTATACAATTTCATAAATATATGATTATGCATTTATCTATAGATGTTTATATTATTTATATAATTTTATATTTATATTTTTATATATTTAATATAAATTTAAGAAAGAAAGAGAGCTATTTACTCTAAGCAGTAAACATACAGCAGGCTAAATTTCATGGAAACATGTATCAGTTAGAAAGGACCTCAGGATCATCTATGTCAACTTACACCTGACCAGGAATCCAATCTGTTCTCAAATCTTGCTGTTTTTACTCTCACATAATTTCTCATCCATGTCCCCTTCTTACTGATAGTCACAGTCTCACGCTAGGCCCTCATTATGTTTCACCTCGATTATTGCAATAGCCCCCTATTGGTCCTACCTCAAATCTCTCCCTCACCAGTCCTTCCTCCACTCAAAAGTAATTTTCCTAAAGCACCAGTCTGACAATTATCGCATCCCTCCACCCCCATCTCAATAAACTTCAATGGCTCCCTATTACCTCCAGGATCAAATATAAAATTCTCTGTCTGGCATTTAAAATCTTTTCTAGTCTGCTTTTCCAGTCCTACTTTTCCAGTCTTCTGACCATTGAATCTCCTCCATGCAGTTGAGGATTCAACTACACTGGTCTTCCTGTTTGCACAGCAAGATCTTCAAGCCTTTGTACCTGCTGTCTACTGTGCCTACAATGTTTCTCCTTTTCTCTTGACTCACTTTAAGCCTCAGCTCAGACATGACCTTCTTTTGCAGGAGACCTTTCCTGGTCCCTTCTCCACCTTAGTCCCCTTGCAGGTACCTTCTTTCTGAGATTAACTTTCATTTACAGCGTATATATTTGTGTTATCTCCATTAGAATGTGAGATTCTTGAAGACTGTCTCTTTTTTATGTCCAGTACTTAGAAGCATGTCTGGTATATGTTGCGGTATTATTGTTGTTCAGTGGTGTCTGACTTTCCCTGACCCCATGGACCGACCATAGCACCCCAATACTGTCCGTGGGGTTATCTTGGCAAAGATACTGGAGTGGTTTGCATTTCCTTTTCCAGTGGATTAAAGCAAACAGGTTAAGTGACTGGTCACACAGCTATGAAGTGTCTGAGGCCACATTTGAATTCAGGTCTTCCTGACTCCAGGCCCAGTGTTCTATCCACTGCACCCCCTAACAGCTTCCATCTGACACATAGTAAATGTTTAATAAACACTTATTGACCGACTGCAGCATTTCTGACAAGTGGTCATCCAGTCACTTCTTGAAGACCTCCAGGGAAGGGCTGCCCTCCCAAGGCAGCACAAATTCTTTGTAGCTTCTCACAGTATAAATCATCTTCCCAGACATCTGGTTTTACATTTTAGCATCATCCATCTCCAGAGAAAGAACTAATAGAGTCTCGATGCATATCAAAGCATACTATTTCTCACTTTATTTTTTCATGGGTTTTTTTTTTTTTTGGCCTGTAATTTCTTTCACAACATGACTAATATGGAAATATGCCATACAGCCATGGTTGCAAATGTACAACTTATATCAAAAATTGCTTTCTGTGCCAGGGAGGGGAGAAGGGAGGGAGGAGAAAATTTGAAGTGTAAATTTGCTGTGTAAAATATTCTTTTAAAAAATGAATAAATACATTTTGGCATCTGTTTTCAAATGTCTTAATAGTGATTCAAAACTACTTTTTGAAAGAATTGTGGCTGTCAGTCCCACCTACTTCTAATCTCCCCAATCAGAATCACTCTCCTTAAAGCTTTTAAAGAGGTCGGAATCTTATACTTGCTCTACAATTTAAAAAAAGACAATGGCTTTAGAAGTAAATATTTCTTCATAAAACCATTATACTTCTTTCAAAAAAAAATCATTAATGATCCTCACAACAACTGCATGAATTATGTAGGACAGATATTAATCAACCAGTCAATAAGCATTTATTAAGCATCTACTATGTTCCTGGTATTGAACTAGGTTCCATTTCACAGATGAGGAAACAGGAAGTAAAATAATTTGTCCAGTCAAGTGAAAACATGCAAATGACGGATCTGCAAAGGGGAATTCCTTCCACTAATATTCTACTAACAATGCAGCTTTCTTTAATTAATGCAGACGTTTAAATTTAAAAAAAAATAAATTTTAAAAAAGTAAAATCAAGTGGTACATATTACAATGTCCACAATATTTCAACAATATGTGGTCGAGGGATCCCAGTGGGAAGAAAAGTGGACCTCAAGTCACAATAAATACTAAGATATTTTAAACATTTCTAACATGGCAAATACTGACAGATCTAAATCATATAAACAAAAATTCTTTGGGGTCCTCAATAATTTAAGACTGTAAAGGGGAGTCCTGAAACCCAAAAGCTTGAACACTGTGGGCACAGAGGACGGAGAACCCGCCTGGGGGGCCCAGGAAGACGAGTTCTAGTGCCATGTGTGACAGACATATAGAGGCTGGGCAAGTCACAGAGATCCTCCTATGCCCCATGCCAAGAAATTCTCTAAGACTATAAGTGGCAGGGCAGTTGTTAATATGAATTGGTTGAAGGGGTTTCCTCATTGAGTGTTCCTTAAGCCAATGATATTAGAGGAAATTTTAAAAACACATTTTTTAAACTACCTTTTCACTGCGATGGCCAGGTTTTCTATCTCGGTGCTTTGAAGTCTGATCTCTTGGATAAAGTTCTTGATAACATGTTCATAAGGTTGAATTAATCTTGGCTCCAAAATGTTGATGTTCTGATACAGAACGCTAACTTGTTCTTTTCTGCCAAAGGAAAAGAAAAAAAAATCGAGTGCCCGTTTGTAGAACAAACACTTTATCCCCAAGGGAAACAAAGCAAGCCCAGATCTTTAAAATAGGAATCAAAGTAGCATATGGGATAGCAAGGCTGCCTAAAGCAGAGAGTATGCATTTGGACAGTAATGGGATTAAGGTCGCAGGGGCAGGACAGAACCTAATTCTGGATGGTTTCCCTATTTGGATAGAGGAATTTACAGGAAAAGGATAAGATAGAGCCAAAGAATGTTTTCTTAAAGAGCATTTCAATGAATATACATAGAAGGCTTTGAGTAGAGCTAATACTTTTCACCTTTCTCAAATCTTTTTCTTAATTAGAAAGTGGTTTCATTTTTCTCTTCGGTGGTACACGTATCCCTTAGACTACTTGCTCGCTCATCGAATAACAAATCCATTTTTCTTGCTTTCTTTGATCCCTTGTGGGAAGTCAGCTTTGAAATTGTCTAATAACGTTAACGTAAGTTATGATTCTATTGAGATAATAGCAGAGCTTCCTAAAATGAAAGTTAGAGATTTCGTCACTGGGGAGAGGGGTGGAAATTGCAGTTTCCCGGAAGAAATGGACAACTTTGGGCCTAAAATAACAATAGTTAAAGTCACATCCAAATAACAGATGCTTACCATGAGATTTAGAGCTGGATTTGGGGGAACACAACTACCTCATCTTGAAGAGGTGGAAAATGAAAAAACAGAGGAAAAGTAATTTCTAATAAAGCAATGAAGCAGAGGAAGGGGAGGGAAAGAGAGGAAGAGGAGAGAGAAGAAGGAACAAGTGGAAGGAGAGATAGAGAAGAGATAGGCAGAGGGAGGAGGGAGAGGAAGGAGAGTGAGTAGGAGAGGGAAGGAGAAAAGAGGAGGAGGGGAAGGGGGAAAAGGAGAGAGGAAGGGGGAAAAGGAGGGGAAAAGAGAAATGAGGAGGGAAAAGGGAAAACAAGGAGGGGAAAGGGAAAA